TATTTTCATATTTAATATAACATAATCCCTCAACTATGTTGGTTATGAGACATGCACACGTTCAGTCTCTAGAGGTCCTGTCGATTTATAAACGAAAACAAGGGTCTAGAATAATATATTAGAAGATTTTCTTCCAAGATTATCTTCTAAATCATACTTTATCCTATTGACTAAAATATTTAATTAATTATATTATATATATTATATTTAATTATAATGGTCATAAAATCTTGGCTACATAGCGGATTTTCTTTCCTTCACGGGCGGTTTTGGCTTGTTCTCGTAACCTGGTGGCCTCCCTCGAGGCATGGGTGTTCGTGCCGCCATGCTACCACCGGAAGAAGTCTCGTATCCGCCTCTACCTCCACCGAGAGTCGCTCCAGCACTTCCGCCGTCGTTTTTGTGATCGTGGCCGGATTTGGCTCTCCAATGAAGTCCGGAGAGGACGGAGTTTATAACGAGCCGAAAAAGTGATCGTTGTGTTATGTTGGTCCGTCAGGTTAGTGGAAGTTCCAGCACATTGCTCGGTATCTGCCGTTGGATGGGTCATATCGCCACCCACGACGTCGTCTCAATTCGAAACATTGCGTGATGGCTACCATGACGCGAATCACCACATCCCGCAAGGGCGAGCGGGGAGGTGGCGACGTGGGCCACGTGGTTGGACATCAAATCCTCGAGACCCCCTTATTTATTTCGTCATGTCCCATCACTTTTTATGTCACCGAGGCGGTTCAGAAGATTTATGTGTAAAAGCCACAAGTTTTAGGATTTTTTTGGTCAGCGTCCTTTTTTCGAAGAATTACCATAGAGTATTTTTAAAAAAAAATAAATTATCTTAAAAATTGTGACAGAGTTGTCTAACGTGTAAGAGCTTGAACATGTTGAAATGTTTGTTTAGGTCTATGTGCATTATTTACTATAAATGGTTTTCATGGAAATGTAGAAAAAAATATTTATGTGTATTATTTATTCTTATACATCACCAACACACTTCAATATTGATAATAAAGTACAATAAAAACAAAATTGTATTAGTTATACTTATTTTCAATAGCTTTTCACAAATAGATATAACTAAGATATTTTTTTCAAATTCATTTAAAATAAGAACGAATTCCTTATAATAAATAGCACATATTTTCGTTTTCTTTTCCCATAGCATCTTCATGTTGATTTTTTCTGCACTCACATATTTTTCAATTAAATAAAAATTCTTTTATCTTTTTCCTACTCAGTCAATTAAACCAATCTATACAAATTAACTGATTTAATCAACCCAAAATATTCGATTGGTCCAATTAAATAATATCAAAAAATAAATAAAATTAATATATACTTATATTTATCGAAAATATAAAAATTAATGTTAAAATTATAAATAATGAAAATACAATAAATAAATTTATGTTTTTTTAATATTAAGTAAAATATCATATAATAATATTTTTATATATTAAATAAATAATAATAAAATAAAATATCCAAATCTTTATAAATCCTTGAAAATTACTTTGTGACTAAATGATCTTTTTTCCTATTTATAAGCCTCTAAAATATATTTTTTTAATTTCAAACCTAGAAAAAGTTAAATTTACAACCACATTCGATTGAAAAATACAAGAATATTATCAATAAAATTTATTTTTTTATTTTTTGAGCCCTAAGTTACATTTTTATAATTAGATTACAGTATTTATGGTGCTATTCAAAAAACAATATAACAACATTAAAAAAATATAATTCATGCATAATTTTCTGAAAAAATACCAAACAATACGAAATTTTCTATTTTTATTTTTGACCAATTTAAGTTAGAATTATAAGGTTTTAGTCATTTTTTTAGGAAACCTTTGAAATGTTACTGAAGTCTTAAACGTTCACTTTTTTCTATTTTTGGGCTAATACCTATTTTTAGTTTATTCAGTACTTAAAAGGTTGATTTTTTTATTTTTTATTTTTGGCCAATTTAAGCAGAAATTGCAAGGTTTATTTTGCCAAAGTTTCATGAAACCTTCGAAATATCTTATGAAGCCCTAAATATCTTTTGTTTTTTTAAGCCTTTAAAAAACCTTTTCAAGTAATTTGACCATTAAATGTTTAAAATGTTATTTTTTTTTTCAATTTTAGGTGAATTTAGTATAAAATTGGCCATAAAATATAAAAGTAAATATTATATTCGACATCCAACTTACCCAAATTTTAAATGGGATTGTACTATCTTGAAGTCCTATTTAAAAATAGCATGATCACATTCAAAAAATAGTGGTTAAAATTTAAAAAAAATACTATTTAAAAATAAAATAACTATCCATTTTCATCCAAAAGTCCGAATTGATTTTTTTAATTTTCAGTTAATTCTTAAAAGGCTACCATTTTTATTTTTTTACCAATTTAGGCTAAAATCATGAATTTTTGGCCAAAATTTTCATGAAATATTGTTAATGTCTAATGAAGCCTTAAATGACATCTTTTAATATTTTTAGGTCTTTAATGTATCCCAAATTTTTAATTTTTAATTTTTAACTAATTTAAGCCAAAATTACTAGGTTTTTTTACTGAAAAGTTTTATATAATCTTGAAAATATTTTATGAAGGCCGAAATGATCAATTTGTTCGACCTATTCTCATGGGACAAAAATGCCCAACTAACTCTATTAGGTAAAGATGTTTCTAACGGACTTTGGTTAGCCACACTCTCCAACCCACTCAATCAAATCAACTGAAGAAAAAGGCTAACACGCCTGATGAGTCCACCTAGTGCATAAGAATTAAAGCGACTAACGTGTTTGTTTACATAGGACATTAGCAATAAAAATAAAAGTAAGGATACATTTTAATCGAGCAAAAATATTTTATAATATATGATATATTTATTTCAATGTATTATCATTAAGTATCTAATATATTTTAACTTTATACCAAGCATCTTCTCGTTCATGGTGTCCACTTAGGACATGGCATCAAAGCTTCGAATACACTCAAACTATATAAAATATGTGTGCTTCGAATACACTTTTAACTATATAAAATATACCTAGATGCATAATTTATCTAATAGAGCAATAAATTTCTCCACACATATGATACATTTGACCAGATATAATAAACATCAAAGAATGTGATCAATCAATGCCCAAAGCTTTCCCTTGTGCATGATGCATATGACCTCACTAAAAGATATCAAAAACACTTGATTCGACCCCAAATGTTCAAAGCATCTCTTGTCTGATCTACCCATCTTAACTAGGCAAGGACATCACCGAGACCCATTGCATGCATATATGATGAAAGCATATGAAGCATGCTTTAATTATTTTTGATACGCACAATAGCTATCAAGATCTTGAGATAAATGTTGCGCTCCAATATGAACCAGTTCTTACCCTGAAGCACAATGAAGAGAAAATAATAACTTCTTTTTTTTCTTGTTAATCGAGGTCTAACACACATAACTCAGTTATGGCATCTAAGAGAAATATACTCTCATTCAAATACTTGATGTTATGTATTTGATGATGAATATAAAATAGCACTATGTAAAATGATCTTTTTCAAGTATGTTTTGAGCCCAAACTTACCGAATGAATATCAAACACTCAAATGATTGCAACGAATAAATGCAAAATCATTGTCATTGGAAGATTATTGGCATGGTATCAATTATTTGTGATGGGAGTTTGTATGATGTCTTCCTCATTATAGTGGCCATGATTATAAAAATAATATGAAAAGCTTGATGATTTTGTTGCTCCTCGTCTTGAATTAGGTCCGAACTTTTTTAAATTTAATTAATTATTTTTTAATGAATCCAATTATTTATTATTGAAGATAACATTATCCACCCTCCAGAAGGAGCCTAGCAAATTATTTCTTTTGTTGTTCAGGTGTTGCACATTGGGAGGAGCAAACGAAGAAGTATTTTGTAATTTATTTTGTGTGATATTATTTAGTGCTAAATTTATATAAAATATTTTTTTAATTTATATATGGAGTTAGATATACTTAAATATTGTGTATTTTATTTTTTTTTGTATAAATGATTACGTTGATAAATGAATGTGAGTGTCTTATGAAATTGTCGTGAGTTATGATTGTCATATTTATTCTTATAATTATCATCCACAGGGTGAAATGTTATTAATTACTATAGTTATTATGCAAAATTTCACTCCCCACCTCTTGTGTTATCATTTTCTTTGATTCATTAATTTTTAAATACACAACACCACTTCCATTTTTTTTTTTTTAAAGTAAAAGTAAGGTTGGGATACTCAGGTATAATAAATACACTATGCCCTTAGATATTTTGAGGATAGGATATTTTAAAATTTAAAAATATAATTATTATTTTTAATTATGATTATTAATGCGAGAAATAATTGAGAAAACTTCAACCAGAAGAGAAATAAGTTTCTGCCACCAAAACTATTGGGAAGTTTTTTTTTTTTTTTATTCATCTTGTAAATACACAAATAATATAATTATATATAATTGAAATTAAATTTGTCAAAGTGACATAAACGGAATCCACAAATCATTGTTAGATGAAGTCAACAACTCGTCAATCATTCTTCGAGAAGCAAAGTCTGAGACACCAAAGAGGACCGAATTCGTAAATAAACTATGCGCGCGGTCATTCAGGTAAGCTCCCAAACCATTAAACCATCAAAACAATGAAATCAAGATTCAATATGGATTTATCCAAATCACGATGAATACGCAAAAATGATAGTAGAAACTTCGCTTGAAGAAAGCACAACCATTTGTCAACGTTTGTGTTTGATCGATCGGTAAGGCCGTAGCTATCAGATGGAAAGTGTCAACAAAGGAGAAGTAGACATAAACGATTAATGATTGATTATACATAAGCCACAATACAATACGGCTGGCCAAAACCATTCAAATAAATGCTTTATATAGGAAGCATTGCGACGCTACAATAGCAGCAGTAGCTATCGGGTAATGTCAACAAGTATAGCAAGAGTCAGAACATCCCCTCATCGTTTGCCCCTTTCCGAAACAGCGTAATTGAAGGCCCGTAACAGCACCTCATGCAATCTGTCTACGTTCAGGCTTACGTTCTGGCCCTCGAGATACACGTTCTTGGTCACTTCCCATCCCCTACCTTTCAGAAAACTCTCGGGGTCCTTCACCACCGGATCTCCTTCCCCGTACTTGTAATACAATGAACTCTCCGTTGGGAGGACCTTGTATTCCACATACCTCAGTCCCATCGCCACCGCCGGCTCCCCGAAGCAGATCCGCGCGACCTTTTCGGCCCCAAGTGGCACGATCTGGATGAACAGCGCGCCAGGCCTCATGAACAGGAAATGAGTCAGAGCAGCCCCATGCACTCCCATCATCACATCGCAGGAGCTGAGCGTGTTGTACATCCTACGCAGCGGCATCGTCTCCGCTGGCCTCAACACTTCCACCTGGAACCCTATCTGCTCCCCTACTTTCACCACTTCTGCCTCGTTCTCCATCGTCCTGGTCCCACTTCGAGACACTACCACCAGCTTTGGGGAGTTGGGCGTCGGTGGACTGCCCCCCACTTCCGTCTTTGGCTTGTAGGCGTCCCGGAGCATGTGTAACAAGTCCCGGATGCTACTGTTCTCACTCGACCTTGAGGCATCGATGGAAAGCATGCCTTGGTACCGGAGGCCCACGATGGCGCCGGGGAAGCAGTGGGTCCGCGTGTCGTTCGAGAAATCGACTGGGGGGTAGTCAGACAGCTGAGCCAGGATCTCCTTGTACTTGGAGGACCACCAATCCCTGTACTGAAGAACCACGAGTGCCACCCGGCGGCGGAGGTGATGTGAAGTGATGTAGAGAGGAACGATGCCATCGTTGAAGTCATGGAACACGTTGCCGGTGTACCCACCGGCGAAGAAAACAAGCGCCGGCACATCATGCCGTACTTGGCATGGCAGGGAAGCGTCGGCGCCGGAGGTGGCGCGAAGATGGAGCTCCGGGATTCTGCTTTTGATCGCCGCATCCCATTTGCGAGTATACGGGCTTATACTTTCCTCCTGCAGAGCGACGGAGTCGTTGTTGCAGGCGCCCGGAAGATGGAGAAAGATGGAGGAGGACGAGGAGTGCGTTCGGACGTCGCCTCGAACGAAACAGATGTCGCTGTGGGAGTCGGTGCGATCGCAGCAGATGGCGTTGCTCTGGAGCGAGGAGCACGGGCCATGGCTATAGCTGTTGAGGTTGAGAACGGTATCGGTTTCTACCTGTGGCGCAGCGTAAAAGTTGATGTAAGAGGAGAAGCCAAAGAAGAAGCGAGAGGCGAGCAACAGATTGCAACATATGAGGGAGACGAGGAAGAGGCATTGGAGAGGGCGAGGTTCGGTCCTTCTGGCAGAGGCGGAGTTCGGATGGAGGTATTGGTTGCGATGGTTATTTGTCATCTTATATTTCTCGGCGGATGATCTCCTCCTCCTCCTCCTCCTCCTCCTGCTGATGTTCCTCCTCTGATTTGAAGAAATGAATGCGAGAGGATCTGCCTTAAGCTTATACGGGAAGGAGAGATTTGGAGTATATGACTCCTAAGGGAATGATGCATGCATAGATGGAAACAATTGAAAGGATGTGTGGCTATAATATTTCAGTGAATTAAAGTTAAAATTTTGTTTTCCGAGCAAGACTTCACCAATCTTCCAAACTTCAAATGATGTTGGAGAATTTCTTTAATCTCGAGTTCGTCGATCTCGTGGCGTAGATTTTAACACGCGATTGTTGGTGTACGTACGTTTCAACAAGAAAAGAACCAAAATATATCCGAAAGAGCATTGAAGGCCTCACTCAGCCTTCCAAGAAAGGGAGACGTGATGAGATGAGTTCTCCCAAAGTTTGATAGATTGATATTGATAGTTAAATTAGATAAGATGCCTAGGAAGATTAAAGAAAACGTGTTTGCCCGTTTCAAATCGAAAATCGGCAATTTGATTACGAGATAATTTAAATCAAATTGAATCTAGACGGTCCAATTCCAATTTTGGAACCAGCGACTTCAGTATCACAATGATTATGCTTTATTTAATAAAAATAATTTTTATTTTTTTATCAAAGTTTATGTATTTCTATACATATAATGACATAAATTAAGTAATTTTGTACAATTTATATCAATCATTACTAGTGTAAAATGTTCCGATTGTTCTTTTGGTTAATAGATCAAAAATTTTTTCACTATCTTCTCGGACGATCGCTTTACTCTGGTTTGATCAATTATCAATATATGTTTTTATGGTTTTAACTAATTCGAGGATCATACACAAACGAGTCTCTCTCAATACTAAAAGCTTACTCCACGGTTATTGTTGAAATCGGAGTTACTCAAATTTATTTTACAATAATTGATAAAATTAGGAAGGTTTTTAAATGACATGCCCAATATTGAAGAATTGAAATTTTATAAGTAATGTTTTCAAGCTAAAAAAAAAAAAAGATTAGATACATATCGCCTATCAATCTCCTAGATTTCTTTTGTCTTTGCAACAATAATTAATTGCCCTTTACTAATTCTACTGCATCCACCAACTTAATCAACAAATAAAGAAGGTTGGGGTTGTTTATCTTTTATAAACCACACTATAATGGTCATACAAATCAATGATAATATTTTTTACCTTTCCTCTTTTTTTCATTAATTTCAACATCAAAATGGCAACAGTCATAATAAGTAGCAAATAAAATCATGCAAACCACGTATTCTACAATGAGGTTAAAAAAAAAAAGCAACAATGTAAACAAATAAAATATTTAAAAATTAATTAATTCGCTTAGTTTTTATTGTCATAATAGTCATATTCAATTCATTATCATTTTTATATTTTTTGATGCACCAATAAAATTAATACATTTGATTAAAAATAAATAGACTATAGGATAATTAACATTATTAAAAACTTCCAAAATATCTAAAATCATTTTACAAATATTCCAATATTGAGGATATAAAGCATTGCATTATTTTTGATAATAATACATAATAATTATTTGTATTCAAAACTCTCATTAAGAAATTTATAATTTAAATTTCATCAGATATGAATAGAATTATTAAAAACTTCCAAAATATATATATATATATATATATATATATATATATATATATATATATATATATATATATATATAT